CAACCCAAACCTGCCCCCTCTAACATCACCCCCCCCCCGCGCCACCCTTTAAAGTATTTGAGTAGCAGAATAGTTATATGGGAGCAGACCAGCTCCAAGTTGTTTCAAAACTCTCCTGTCAATCAAATGTGCATGTAAAACGTGCATTTTTCACCCTCCATAAAAAGAGGTTTACCTTTAAGCCACACCCACCTATGACATCCCTAACGGCAAATTAGGAGTTGACGTAGTCTGCATAAGTAGGAATTTACCCCATGTGCGTCTGCTTGTCCTCCTCGCGTCAAAAATGGGTGAAGATCCCCCCCCCCATCCCACCAGCTGCTTCTGTCCAAAAATTCCCACACTGCCTTTTGCTCCCATAGAGCAGGAAGTCACTTCAATAACTCGACATTCCTCAAATAACTCATTTAAGCTGCTGTCAAAATATGCAAATGAGATTGGAAAGCATTTTAAGATGCGCACACACACACACACACACACACACATATATATATATACACACACACACACACACACACACACACACACACACACACACACACACACACACACACGCCAAATACAAGCAGGTGGTGGTGGTGCGTGTGATCAAGACAGGAAGAAGCACAGACAACTTCCTGCAGCATCATGAAAGTTTTAATAACATGTTGCACGTTCCACCCGTTAGGGATGCTAACCAGGAGCCATGTTGTGCTGGCTTTGGCACAAATGCTACTGGCTACCAGGGCCCATCATTAATGTTGGACCCTGCATGTACACACACACACACACACACACGCACACACACACACACACACACACACACACACACACACACTCTCTCTCACTCACTCACACTCACACACACACACACACACACAATTCTTGAGCAAAAGTTGCCAGCACTGCTTCCAAATTTTCAGCTCATTCTGTGAGTGACGATAAAAAGTTATCCAATTGATTTGCCTGCGGCCTCTGCATGTGCATCTCATAATTAGCACATCGCACAGGGGAATGCAGGGGTTAGACTTCAAAGGCGCAACGAGACAAGTCGGAAGCCTCGTGCACAGGCTGTCACGCGCAGCAGCACCCCCGTGACCTCTGAACTCAACTACAGACATGAGTCTTTCAGGTGAACTCGATCATTTGAGTGATGGGAATTGACGTCCAGTCCGAACATAATAGACACACTTGTGAGGAAAAAAAAACCTGACACATGGGCCAGTTCATTTGTAGACAAAGACAACCCCCCAAAAGGGTTTTAAAATATTATACAGTATATGTGTGTGTGTGTGTGTGTGTGCGCACGCGTGTGCGTTGGGAAAAAATATCTTTAAATGTCATGAGTATATTAAAATAAAAACAGACACTGGCCCAAACTGACCAATACATATTTCTTTGTCACCAAAGTGCATTTTCGGTTTGGAGAGAAAGACTTTCTTCAATCAAACGGCAGGTTAGGATAATGCAAGAAAGCAACGTATCCAGCAAGCAGAGGCGCAACTAATGAATTCTCAAATTATTTGACAACTATTGTGATAAGTGATCGTTTTGACAGAGTGCTGAACTTCAAACTGTCCAAATTTCATCCTTTGGACAGTAACACTTCCTGTTCCAGCCCTACTTATGCGCCTTCTGCACTGTGATTGACAGGTAGGCAATCCGGAGTGTTGTGTGTCTTTTTGTCCGAAGTGAGCGGGGATAGGTTCCAGCTCAGCCATGAGCCTCAACAGGATTAGCGCTCAAGAAAGACGGTGGCTGAACGCCCCGAAGCCCATATCTCACTGAGCGGCAAATGCTTCCGAATGTTTGTGTATGTAGCCAATGTTTTTTTTTCTCTCTTCAGGGTTCATTCAAGGTTGCAAAGAACGGTCGGCAACCGTTTTTCTTGTCTCAAAGAAATGGAAATGTTAAGATGTAAATTTTTGAACAGGTTCCCAATTTTTTGACAAATAAAATCTTCGAGAATGTCTAGGGAACGTCTTCCCTGACGAAAGAACAAAATTCACTCCGTGCAAAAACACTCTCAAGCGTTTGCTGTTCAGTCTATGGGCTTCAGATGGCGGCGTCTCGTGGAGACATGCATGCGGGCGAAGCACGGCACCAAAGGTAAGCCGCTTCTGTGAATAGGAGCAGGCCAGCTGAGCTTGCAGATGTTCCGCATCACGTTCCCACGCCCAGAGGGGAGCAGAGGAGGAGTCCAATTTTCAACAGCTGCTCGCTGGCCGGCTGACTTTTTCCCACACTGAAAGCCTCAGCTGACCGTTCTCATCAACTATCAGGAAGCAGAAGAATCCCGCTTTTGACATCACACTACCCGAGCGCGACGTCGCCGCAGCAACACCGGGACGTCCGGCTCCTCCCAAGCCAGCTACGTAAGCGCCGGGCCTCAGGAATGCGGCGCTGAGATCCCCCCGCAGAAATAGATGGCTTTTTTTAAACGCCCCGAAAGACGAGAATGCCCACGCAAATAACATTGGGATGACTGTCGCCGCTGCGCTCGCTCACTCCACCTGGGCCGCACTCACTCGGGGTCAAAGTTCAGCCAGCAGAGGGAGCGGAGAGACAAAATACAAGTCCACTTTATGGCGTTGCCCTGGAGACGCTCGCGGGAATTTTCCCAAGCACCACAAGTGGAACACTGCACATGCACGCACTTGCTAACTTTTTTGGGGGGACATTTCATGTTTCACGTATGTTTGTGTTCTCATGTATGATATGTTGCCTTGTTACACTGTGTTTACGCGGATGCTCAACTGCTGACATAGTCTAATATACATGTTGTAGGACATATAAACATACATGCAAACAAATTAGGGCAGCAACTATTATTTTCGTGATCAATCAGTGGCTGACAATTCTGTCAGTTAATCAATAAATTATTTTTTGTAAACAATTTCATTTGCATTCCTTTATCCAAAAATAGAACATTACGTCAAATGGAAAGTCCAGAAAATGCACAAACAAATTAATTATGATTCGGTTCCTAGTCTTGTCCATAACATTGCAGAAAATTGTTTTTCTTGCTTTCCAAAGTCAAAGCAGATGGTTACAAATCTTTTATTTGGGGGGTGGGATTGTCTGATTTTATGGGGGATGAGATAAATTGGGGAATATTTACTGATGAGAGGCTGAAATCGCAAGTATTTGGACAATTTTATATTAAACGTCTCAAGAGCAGGCATGTTCAACATCCGGCCCGTGTCCAAATTTCCACCGGCTCACAGTCTCTGGCATATAATCGTGTGTAGCGTGTCAGCACTGTTGAATGGAAATTGACATTTTTGTCACTGAAATATGAAACAAATGCATCTGGTTAATTTTCCAAGAGACTGTGGCTGTTTTCAAAGAATATCAAGAAGCATGCCCTGACGGAACATGCAAACGATGACAAGGTGACTGGGAACGAAAGTTAAAGTAGCTGCAGGCCTGAATGGTCGGCCCAAGCGCATTTTCATCCCACCAAATCTGGCCATCTTTGCAAAAAGATCAAGTGCAATAATAGTCGTAAAAGTTGGGGCCCCCTGCTCTAGTCCAGGGTTGTCCAGACTATGGCCAACGGCCCATTTGCGGCCCACCATCTCTTTTCAGTGGCCCGTTCTACACTACAAATGACTTTTGACAGGTTCCGCAAGGCCAGTAAAATAAAAAAACGTGTAGGTGGACAGCGAGAAGGGAGTGTCGAAAAATAGTTACCACTACTGATAAACCGGGGTACATAGAGCTTTTCTAAATATCCAACAAAACAAATGAACTATGAATGACTAAAATAACAAAACAGGTTTGTGACAAAAGTGAGTTTGAGGCTCCCCGGGTTAACCATTAGTACCAAGTATCGACGTTTTATTGGTTTACAAGTATATGGTGGTGTCGAAGACCAAGTATGCTCACGTCAAACATAAACGCTCGCCTGCGTTTCAGACGTGACGCGGGGGTTCTTACCGAGGTGCAGTGTGAGGTTGATGGCGTTGGGGTACTGCACCCCGGCCAGCATGGTCTGGCTCTGCCACCAGGTGGTGTCCTGTTGGTTGTTGTAGTCGGTGAGGTAGGCGGCGCCGTGTTGGTTACGCGGGTCGCGGGCGTCGCAGATGTGACACGACTTGGTGACCCCGGTGGCCCCCGTCTGGACGCAGTACTCCTCCGGGGGGCTGCCGCACGTGTTGGTGGCCACCACCGTCACGTTGAACGCGGCGTTTACGAACTCCGGCATACAGCGTTGCGCTTGCCCTTGATCATCCGTGCACTCGTCCATAGCGGCGCCGACGCCGAGCGTCAATGCGGCCGCCAGGGCGACCACCGCCAAGGGGTAAATATGGTGGTGTCGAAGACCAAGTATGCTCACGTCAAACATAAACGCTCGCCTGCGTTTCAGACGTGACGCGGGGTTCTTACCGAGGTGCAGTGTGAGGTTGATGGCGTTGGGGTACTGCACCCCGGCCAGCATGGTCTGGCTCTGCCACCAGGTGGTGTCCTGTTGGTTGTTGTAGTCGGTGAGGTAGGCGGCGCCGTGTTGGTTACGCGGGTCGCGGGCGTCGCAGATGTGACACGACTTGGTGACCCCGGTGGCCCCCGTCTGGACGCAGTACTCCTCCGGGGGGCTGCCGCACGTGTTGGTGGCCACCACCGTCACGTTGAACGCGGCGTTTACGAACTCCGGCATACAGCGTTGCGCTTGCCCTTGATCATCCGTGCACTCGTCCATAGCGGCGCCGACGCCGAGCGTCAATGCGGCCGCCAGGGCGACCACCGCCAAGGGGTACAACCGCGGGGAAGGAGCCGCCATGTCGGCGCTCCTCACGCTCCTCCGCTGAGACCGCGACGCCACTCGCGCGGGACCAAACTGAGTCAAACTCGGCCGACTCGTTCCGACCGGGCGGGCGGGAGGCGCGAGTAACTTGCGAGGGAGTCGGGAGCGGGTTGCGGGCGAAGACGAAACTTGTTGGGGCGAGCTCAGTACTTTGTGTGCGCCGCCATGGAGTGCTGGAAGCCGACTACACCCTGGAAGGGAGTCAGTCAGGGTCGTCGCGCGCATGCGCAACACTTACCGGAGCCCACTTCCGTCACCCAAAAAAGAGAACTAAAGAAAAAACGTGGCGGCGCGCCAAAGACTCCTCCGTGAACTTTGAACTCGTTTTTCCTTACCTTCACTCGACCTCATTTCGTCTTTCAGTCATTAACTCCACGAACATCTGAACACTGAACTTGTGTCCCCACCAACTACACTTTGTGACTCCGCAGCAATTTAGGAAAAGACTCGAAGCTGCTAAACGACCGTGTTTGACCGTTGTTAATAAACTAAGGGCACTTGGCTTCACCGTTTGACCCAAAACAATATTTCTTCTTAATTGACCTAATTTTGTATTTCAACCATTAGCCACAAACACGAAACATCCCGTGCGTTCGAGCAAGGTGGGAATCCGGACTTTTACTGCTTCCAACAAATAAAAGTGCACGAGATCGTCCATTTGAACTGGGAGGTCCGAGTTGAGAAGTCGGGGGAAAAAGAGCACCCGAAATCACTTAAATGTGACGTCACCACAATCGCGACCCCATGGAGACAGAGAAAATGACTGTAAATGGCAAACATAATTTATAAGATTCTGAACATGTATTTATTTATATGTCTTCATTTAATATTAAATATAGCAATTTGCCAAACTGTAGAAAGTATATCAGAAAGACGTACAAAGAAATATTTGCAAGTGTTCAACGTAACGTAAAACAAAATATTTATCTACCGACCGAAATAAAAAGCTTAATACAAATTCATACATTTATAACAATACAGAAACTAATTGATGCCGTGGAAATAAGGTCCTGGCGACATCTCGTGGACAAAAACGTTTTTGCGTCTCTCTTGGTTTCATTTCCACCCGGCATCACGTGGGAGGGACCGCTACTTTTTTAAAAAATGAGTTCAAACAGGTATCCTTCAAAATTAAGCTCTTTTTGAGTCCTAAAAATCATTTTAAACAACTGGTACTACATCAATATTCACGAGCTCAAAAAGTGCATCTAGTCGGATCGCCATTTTGAGCCATCCTTGTGTTTTTAAATTTGGAACGTAATTGCAAAGACGCGTGACGACATGATGTGACGTCACGGCAGCAGTTGCAGTGAGTGTGCTCGTTTCGGTTCACTGAAACGAGACGAAAAAAGAGAAAAAGCACACGGTTGGCGGCCACCTTTGCCCCGCAAGGAGCAATATGGGCCCAAAATAAACGCCTCGCTCAAGTTAAGTTTAGTTAGCCTCATTGAGGCAAGTTAGATTCTTAGGTCGTCTCCCTCCGCGCTCGAAGACTAAATGTGCTGAATGCACACTTTTGTAGACCGTGTAGTTAAATACAGGAGACTTTTAACCATAAGTCACAATACAGCAGAACACTGGCGGCTTGTAAACGAACGACGTTCACTTCCCGATTTAAAAAAAACACGCTGCTACACCGCGTTGCATTGTGGTCATTGCAGGCGAATTCCGATCACGCCGTTCGGGTAAAAGAGTCATCCTTAACTAATCGTTTTTGTTTGTTTATGGGCGAGACACCTCTTTTGTGTTCATATCTTTTTCGTAACGCTCACAACGCGAGTACGTATTTTCACGACGGCTTGTCCGTGTCTTGACGACATCGTCTTCGAGTACGACTACAACTCCCATCATGCCCCAGCGTGACGTCGCTCATTTCGCCAGTCGAGTGGCTGGCGAGAGAAATCCGGCCGCTTCCGTGTTGTTCTTGTCGGCTAGCAGCACTTTTCGCCGTCATGAGCGAGTCTTTGTGAAGCTCGGACTTCACTCGACCGCCCCCTCGTCCCGACATGTCGCTACCGCGCGGCTCCAAGAAAAAAGACAAACGCATTTTGTCGGCCACCTGCCCGGACCCCAAGTGTCAGGCAAGCCTGTTCTTCCCGGCACACTGCTCCGTTAGCATCGAGTGCACCGAATGCGGCCAGCGTCACGAGCAGAAGAACCTGCTCAACGTCCAAGAGGTGACCGATCCAGATGTGGTGCTCCACAACCTGCTCAGGAACGCCCTGCTGGGCGTCGCGGGCGCCCCGAAAAAAGGCAAGGCAACTGAGCTAGTCAAGGTGATGGGGCTGTCCAACTACCATTGCAAGCTGCTCTCTCCCGTTCTGACCCGCTACGGTATGGACAAACTGAGCGGTAAAGCCAAGCTGCTGAGGGACATGAACCAGGGCGAGACCTTCGACTGCTCGCTGCTGGGCGACCGGGCCTTCCTCATTGAGCCTGACCATGTGTCCACCATGGGCTACGGCAAGGACCGCTCGGGAAGCCTGCTCTACCTCCACGACACCCTGGATGAAATCAAGCGGGCCAACGGCAACCGTGAGTGTCTCATCCCTGTTCATGTGGACGGAGATGGCCACTGCCTGGTTCACGCCGTGTCTCGGGCGCTAGTGGGCCGCGAACTGTTCTGGCACGCCCTGCGCGAGAACCTGAAACAGAACTTCAAGCAGAACCTTGACCGCTACAAGGACCTGTTCCAGGACTTCATCGACGCCGAAGAGTGGGAGGACATCGTCAACGAGTGCGACCCGCTTTTCGTCCCGCCCGAAGGAGTGCCGCTTGGACTCCGCAACATCCACATCTTCGGCCTGGCCAACGTCCTGCATCGGCCTATCATCCTGCTGGACTCGCTGAGCGGCATGAGGAGCTCCGGGGATTACTCAGCCACCTTTCTGCCGGGCCTGGTGGCCGAGGAGCGGTGCCGTGCAAAAGATGGCGAGCTCAACAAGCCCATATGCATCGCCTGGAGCAGCTCCGGGCGGAACCACTACATCCCGCTGGTGGGCATCAAGAACACAGAGCTACCCCGGCTGCCACCCCACCTGCTCCCCAAGGCCTGGGGAGTCCCACAGCAGCTCATCCAGAAGTACATCAAGGCCGAAGCGGACGGCGGCTGCGTGATCGGCGGCGACCGTAGCCTGCGGGACACCTACATCATGCGGCTGGTGGGCGCCATGGAAGAAGTCTTCATGGAGAAGCACGGCATCCACCCGGCGCTGGTGGCCGACATGCACCAGTGGGTCTACCGGCGCACCGGCGTCATCGGCATTCAGCCCGAGGAGGTGACAGAGGCGGCCAAGAAGTCAGTGGCAGAGAACCGCCTCCACCGCTGCCTGGTCTGCGGTGCCCTCTCGGAGCTCCACGTGCCGCCCGACTGGCTGGTGCCGGGCGGAAAGCTCCACAACCTGGCCAAATCCACCCACGGTCAGCTGCGGCCCGACAAGAACTACAGCTTCCCGCTCAACAATGTGGTGTGCTCGTACGACCCGCAGAGCGACGCCCTCCTGCCCGACTATAAGCTCAGCTCGCTCGACACTTGCAACTGGTGCCGGGGCGCCTCGGTGCGCCGCGTTCGGGCCAATGGCCTGGTGGTCTACCTGGACGGCGACCGGACCGACACACGCTCACAAGGCGGCAAGTGTGGCTGCGGTTTCAAGCACTTTTGGGAAGGCAAGGAGTACGACAACCTCCCGGAGGCCTTCCCCATCACGCTGGAGTGGGGAGGCCGCGCAGTCCGGGAGACGGTGCACTGGTTCCAGTATGAGGGCGACCCGGCGCTCAACAGCAACGTATACGACGTGGCCACCAAACTGGTCACCAAGCACTTCCCGGGCGAGTTTGGCAGCGAGATCCTGGTGCAGAAGGTGGTCGACACCATCCTGCGCCACACCGCCAAGAGGAACCCGGACGAGTACAACCCTGTGGCAGTGGACGGCGCCCACGACCGGCGCCTCACCGCCGCTGCGGAGAGCTCTCCGCCAGCGACGGCAGACCTGCCCACCAAGATCATCCTGACAGGGCCAAAAGGCAAGACACTCCACAAGGAGGAGCTGACCATGAGCCAGGCTGAGCGTGACCTCCAGCAGAGCATCAGCAACCGAGCCCCGGTCTTGCAGCGCCGCAGCGAGCGTGTCAAGCTGGACCCCAAGGATCGCTCCCCAGGCACCCCCGCGCCCTCCTCAGCACCGGCCACCCCCACCAAGTCCTCGGCGGCTCCGGCGCAGTCCGGCGGGGAGAAGAAAATCCGCGTGAGCGCCGGCGACGGCCGGATGGCCACCCTGACGCTGGGGCCCCACGCGTCCTACTCGGACCTCCGCAACAGCATCGCCGAGCACTTCGGGGTGGCACCCGGCCACATGTGCATCCGCTACGGCTTCCCCCCTCGGGAGCTGCCGCCGCCAGCCGCCGGCCACGAAAAGGAGCCGGTGGCGCTGAGGCACGGCGACCGGGTCACGCTGGAAATCCTGAAAGGCGCCGACGAGGAGGCCGCGCCCGCTTCTGGGCCCCCGCTAGAGAATGAGGATGCCATGGCATTGGCCAGGATGAGTGAGCGTGACCTTCAGGACAGCATTGACCTTGAGATGTCCTCGCTGTGTCTGCTGGCGACCTTGATGGGTGAGCATGCTCTGTACCTTGCAAAATAGGAGAAATGAATTGGGTTGATGATTGATTCAATTATGTTCCAGACAGTGCCTCCGTGTTTTGGTTCGTACAATAGCTTAGCTCAGTGCGTGCGCGCGTTTGCTGACTCAGGCAGCTGGACACCTCGCCGTCCGGCCTGCCAAACATGTCAAAGGTCGTTGCTGCACTGTAAAAATCACAAGCAGCCTGACTAGTGCTGCGTCTGACAATTTTTAAAAAATATTTTAATCATCAATTAATCATTCCAATATTTGAGTAATTGATGAATCGCATTAAAAAAATTAATCGTTTCCGTCCCTTGATTTAAAACTGGACATTATTTCAAATTGACGGTGTCGTAACTGCACAAGCATCTCTTGATGAGGATTCAGTTACTGGTTTATATCCATAACATCTGTTAGAAAATCAACAAAAAATGTTCATCATTCTTTCCCAAAGTAAAAGCTGATGTTGCAAATGTTTTGTTTTGAAAAGGCACAAAGATTAAAAGCTTTCATGGAGGACGAGTAAAGTTCCCGGTTATGCGGCTGAAATTTCCACAATTTAGACATTTTGACATCAAACAGGCATCTCTGTGTTCAAGAAACGTTGAACCTAAAATGAGCTGCCAAACTGACACACTTTGAACTCCGGAAGAAACGTTGAATTGATCACCAACATCGATTGGGGGCCCAGCCTTACCCGACGTTACGCTTCTTCTTAGCTTGTGCCAAGCTTACAGTGTGTGATTGTTGTTGCAGGCGAGGACGTGTGGTCGTATGCCAAGAAGCTGCCACACTTGTTCCAGCAGGGCGGCGTCTTCTACAACATCGTCAAAAAGGACATGGGTATGTAAAGGTGCTTTCTTCAACATAAACATCTTAGAATGCTCCTTTCGGCTTCACACATGAGCTTGTGTGTTTCTTTTTTTTTTTTCTCTGTACTTTGGCCTTTTCATCACTTTGCCAGAGGTTCATCCTGGGCTCATTGGTCTTTGATGCAAAGGCCAAATGTCTTGGCCTACTACTGGACTACTGCACATGTGTAAACCAGTGTGGTGGTTGCTGTTGCCATTTCCGAACAAAGCAGTAGAGGTCGCTGTTGGATTAGACTTCGTTGTAGTGAATCTCGTCGTGAGGCAAGAGCAGAGAAAAAGATTTAGTATAACGCAACAGGGGGTCTTTTTCGTTGTATGGGGGGCAGGAAAGTGGGAATGGTGTTAATGCATGAAGATTTTTTTCACACTAGGGGGTATTTTCGCCCATGTAGGTTTCATTGTAGAGGAGTTTCACTGTACCGAAAAAAGCCTGGTTTGGGTCCAACATGACCCGGGTGCCTGTGTGTGTTCAGGCCTGATGAACGGGAAGCACTGTACGCTGCCACACCTGACGGGTCGCACCTTCGTCTACAATGCGGCGGCGGCCCGCGTCGAGTTGTGCGCGGACACCGCCGGCCACTTCGAGGTGTGCGGCGAAGTGGAAGAGCGCGTGAAGGAGGCGCTGGCGCGGCTGCGCTCAGATGCCTCCGGCGGCAGCAGGGAGGGCAGCCCGTCGCACGGCGGCCTGCGGCTGGGCGGCGGCGGCGCGGTGCGCAAGAAGGAGCAGCTGCATACAGTCCAGGCCTTCCAGGGAAAGGGTCACTCGCTGGGTAGCCGCGGCGCCTCCCCTCCGCCGCTGGAGCGCCGGCCCATTGCGCGCCAGCACAGCAGCGGCGTGGACCTCAGTGCCGGCGTGTCCTGCGGCGGACCCCCCGACCCGTCCCACATCCCGGAGAGCGCCGGGCGCGAGCTGGTGCGCATGGCGCCGGGCTTCATGACGATGAAGGACAGCCGCGGCCTGGACCCCGTCCTCATGGAGCAGCAGCGCCGCAAACTGCAGGAAATGGTCTCCTCCATCCAGGCCTCGGTGGAGCGACACCTGCGCCGACAGCCCGCGCCCGGCGGACGGACCATTGGTGGGCAGGAAGATGCTGGCGGGAAGACCGAGGAGGAGGAAGACATGGAGAGCCAGGACGGGGAGCGGGCCGAACCCATGGACCACTCCTGATCTTCGCCCTCGCTGAATGCCGACTGCGGTTGGAAAAGGCCGCTGTGCTCGCCCGCGTTCTTAAGGCGCACATGCCACTGAATAAGTAGGCTTCTCGACATATGTAAATCGTGCGCACGTTTTGTGTATCTCTGGCGCAGAGCTGATTAAGTTGCGTTTGCGTGTGATACGAATGGCACGTTTGACCTTGTGAGATATGTAAGAAGCGTGTGCGACGTAAGTTGCGCGCTTGTGAGATACGTTGCTTGCATAATTTGTACTTAGATGTGTCAAGTGCGAGTGCAACTTTTGCATCATGCGACTGATATTTAACTCATTCACTTCCAGCCAATTCTGGACCAAGTCTGAAAAGACGTTTAAAAACGTCTTTGGGAGTGAATGAGTTCAGAAGAAGCATGCGACATCGGAAGTTGCGCCTGCAAGATTTCCATGACTTGGGCATCTTGTGCACACAACTGAGAAAGTCGTTTTTGCCATATACAAAGTTTTCCTCGTTAGAAACGTATAGTGCGCACACGACTTCCTAAGTGGCGCGTGCGCCTCCCAAATGCGCATTAGCGTGTGCGTTTTACTCACAGTTTTGGATGTTGCACTTGCGCCTTTCACATCGAGCACACGCGCCTTCCGGGACGAGTCCGTGAGCAGGAAGCCTGGCGCCGCTGCCAGCAAACTGGGAAGGTGAAGATGAGAAAGAGAGCGAGATGAGCGCTTCTGCGACGCTGTCACCTGCGGGTGAAGAAAGTGATTCGGTCGCCAGTCGTCTTTCTTGTTTGTGCTGCGACACCCATACACCCTTGGCGATTTCGCTCCGTGTGCGCGCATGTGGGATTCTTGATTTTTCAAAGACAACTTTGCCCCCCTTTTTTTTTTCTTCTTGAATGATGACATGGTTGACTGTGTGAGGAGGTGGAGCTTAACTCCCCGTGTCTTTTAAGAGCTCAAGTGCGCTTTGCGCCACCTGCAGGCTGACATGCAAATGCTCTGCTTTCACTGCCATGACATTTAGGATTCGGTGACATGACAGCCAGTTGTTATCATAATGACGATTACATGTTTTATTCTTTTATTTTGCGTAAAGGACATGTTGAAAATGTATAACTCGCACAGGCAAGATTCGTGAAACACGTGCCTTCCGGATCTCATGAGTGAGACTTACTATTTTGCAGTCGCACTTTTTTGAAGTTGGGGCTGCAGTTTATGAAGTCGCATGCACCTGATACACAAGTTGTCCGGGTGCCCTGCGTTGTTGGCGAGGTACAGAAAACGCCCGCACGATTTGTGTATCTTGTGAGCGCACTTTTAGTAAGTCACACACATGAATTATTTCACTTAAAAAATTGCATAAAAACTTGGGCGTCAACATAGTTTACGTATCTCGCAATTGCAGCTTTGGAAGTTGCGTACGGATGTCTTACGAAAGTTTCACATGTAAGTTGAGTAACTTAGTCAGTCTCCCACACCTGCCTTGCGTATCTCATAAGCTTACTAAATCGCACCCGATGCGTAAGTCACATATGCGCTCAATGTATCTCCTCCGTGCAACGTTTGTAAGTCGCACATGCGCCTTGCATATCTCGCAGGTGTAACTTGGGCAGTCGCATCTTACGAATCTTGAATTTTGTACCTAAAGTGTGTGAGTAACTTACGTGAGTCACGCACGCCTTGTGTGTCTCGCAAGTGCAATTTAGGAAGTCGCACGTGTGCCATAATAATCTTGAATTTGATGTCTTGGGTTGAACTGACGAGATTCCTCAAGCGAGTAAAATTCGTTCAAATTATCAAATGGGTTCCGTACTGTTCCATCTGCGTTTAGTTCCTTTCCAACATTTCCTGTTATCTGCTGTTGCTGGATTTCCAATGACTTGACTTTACTCTGTCGCCACATATGACTTGCAGACAATGAAACAAAAGAAGAAAAGGCGCTCGGGCATCAGACTGCATTTTGGTGCCGTCCAGTTACTTTGTCTTTCACGTTGACGAAGCAAATGTACTGGCGAGTTTTGGCGACTGGTTGCTCAAATGCCTTTTGTTTGCCATGCGATCACTAAAACCTGCGTCGCCACGTCGGCTGTCTGGCTGACGAGCTGAAGCGTGTTGTCGTCTTTCTTTTTTTTTCACGGCACAAGTCTTAATCAGTTGCGTTATTTGTAAATATTTCATGAGGCTTTTATGCAAACGTTGCTACAAAGTGAAGAAGACAAAAAGTCAACACCAAATGGAAGGACAGTTCCGTCGAGTTTACCTTTGATTTAGTTTTGCTTGTTTGTTTTGCAACTTTGCCAAAATAAAGGACAACTATGTTCAAGAGAAAAAGGATTAGTGTCTAAAAACAATCCAGTTTGAATTTGGAGCTTTTCTCTGACGTGATGAGTGAACCAACAACCACAAACTCGACATCGTCCTTTTGCTGTTTGCACGCGTGATGATTTGACAATAAATCACTCATATTATTCTTCTTTTCAATGTGTTTCTTTTGGCCCCAATTGCAGAGTACGGATACGTTTTTTCCAAAAAAAACAACTGTTGAAAGTACCTGTACTGAAGATGCTTGAAGCAGAAGTACACATTTAGAAATGACTGAAGTCATTTGCTTCCCAATTACTTTCTTTTACAACACCACAATAAGAAGACAATTTTGTTGTGCCTCCTCAGCTCTACGCCATGACTATAGATAGTGTCATTAGTATATAAAAAATGTTAAGTACACCTCTGCATAACACCTTAGTAATGTGAAAAAAATTTATACAGATCAACCTCCAACAAAGAATAACTTAACATTATTTTTACTTTCAGCGGATGTGCAGTTACCCATTAGAACTGCAAAAGAAAACAAACTCATGTTCCCTATAGTGTCACTAACACACGCACACACATACACACTGGCCTTGTACCACGCCCCCTGGCCCCCATCCTCAGGGGGCCCCACCCTGTTATTTGACAGGACTTTTTTAAGTACAAGAGAAAATGGAATTTTTCCAGCTCAATAATCAAATACGGTGCGGTGAAAAAGTATTTGCCCCCTTCCTGATTTTTCTGATCTTTGCATGTTTATCACAAAAAGATTTCAGTTCATCAAACAAATTTTAATATCACACGGAGACATGCCAAGGAAATACAAAATGCAGTTTCTAAATTCCAATTAAATTTATTTAGACACAAAAAAAAAATCTACACCAACCTGTCTCAATATGAAAAAGTGATTGCCCCCTGAACCTGCAATTTTATGAAATGCAAGTAGTTAAAATTGCACCGCCCCCCCCCCAAAAAAAAAAAGTATTCATCATATCCCACAAAAGGAAAATCCACTTAGGTCCAGTACTTCGTTATTCTCATTTGTGGACTTTAGGACCCAGAGGCCAATGGGGTAGGCAACATCTGACCTTGCCAATCACGTGACGTCACTTTTGGAAGACAACACCCCGAAGGAGGCCACTTGAGTGTCGACTTTGTCACGTCTGTTAGTTACTTTTTCATTTCATGCTCGTTTTGTTACCCGCAACAAGTCAGAGTGTGCATGAGATCTTGTTTTTCGACCAGCATGTGTATCTTGGTTTGGACAGTTTTAATTACGTTTTAACTGCCAAGTCAAAATCGGACAAATGACGTCACGTCTCACTGATATCTCCAAGAGAGGAAGCTTATTTTGAAATTCTCTAAAAATAAAAGTACGAAATTAATGACACAGATGAATAAATATTGTTGTCAATTAATAATTAACGCATGAATTAATCAATTAGTCCCGTTGACCTGCCATGTTGTTGTCAGTGAAAAGAAAATTAGACTAGATGGCGATTGCTGCCCTGCTGTCCGTCCATTCGTTTGTCGACAGTGAGGAGGAGAAAAAGGAGGGAGAGGAGGAAGAAGGCCATGCAGCCTCTGTCCCAGGTGACCAACTCCCTCGCCATCAGCAACGCTCGCGCGGCCTGCAGTCCCGATCTGCTCCAGCGAGAGGCGGTGACGCTCTGCATCAACGTGACGCGGCGGCAGCCTTTTCCTGACGCACCTGTCACCGTCGCGCGAGTAGCCGTGAGTGACCGCCCTGAAGACGACCTCTACAGCCACTTGGACGCCTGCGCCGATGCCATTCACGCCGAAGCGCTAAAGGGCGGTCGCAGTCTGGTGTACTGCAAGAACGGGCGAAGCCGCTCGGCCGCCGTCTGTGTCGCCTATCTCATGAAGCACCAGCAAATGGCGCTGGCGGACGCACTCAAGGTGACGCGGGTCGGGGCTGCTTTTTTGTTTTACGAACTCACCCGTGCTCGTGAAAATCTGTCTCAACCGAATACAAGTCGCATGTAGCACTCCCTGGAAAGTTTAAAAAAATCTTCTGACACCAGCTTGACCGAGCTACAGGAAGTTAGTCAGACAAGTTGGACAATCAACATGAAATTTGGCGGCCATGTTGAACATAACAGGACACGCGAAAAAGTCTCAAGAACTCATATCTATAATCACACAGGAAGTCAGCCATTTTCATTTGAAGCAGCAATTTGGAGTGAATTTCCGGGCTTGAACTTCTATAAATCTACTATGGAATTCACCCGAACGAGGCCCAATGAGAAGGCGATATCCGAGACAAGATGTGAGATGCTAACTCACCAAGCTTTATTTTTTTTTTCCCCCAAGTCACCAAATGTAGAGCATGGAGTCAACATTTGATATCTTTTGAGATTTGGCCGTGATAAAGATGTTGGGCGGGCACAGTTATCACCTTAATCGCCATTTGCCATTGACAGAAAGTGAAGGCCGCCCGTCCCGTGATCGCCCCCAATCCCGGCTTCCTGGCTCAGCTGCAGCGATACGAGGATGAGCTAAGGACGAGACGAGATTCACAACCATCCCAAACAAGCTCATCATCACCCAACCCTGAAAACCCGCCTCTCACGATCCGGTGAGCTAATGAGGATTTGGGACTGGTCCTAAATTGGTTCTATAAATCAAGACCAGTTTCTCTGTGATTTGTAGATTAACAAAAAAGCTCAAAAAACACAACAAAAACAAAAAAATGAGCCCCTGTCACCCGTTTCTCCACTTGACGCAAAACTGGATAGATAAGTTTTTATAACAGGACGTACGAAAAAAGTCTCAAGGACCCACAGCCAAAATGTAACAGGAAGTTGCCCATTTTAGTATCTAGCAGCCTTTTAGGGAGAACTGCAACTTGTAACGAATAAAAACACAGGAACACGCTTGTGTCGAGCGTAAATGAGTTTATTCAACTGCACATCAGGCTTCTGGCGGCTGCGGGCTTTTGTCCCAGTCCTGGCGCACGCTGTCGATCCACTCGTTGTAGTTGGACACTTTGGTGTAGATGCCGAGCTTGTCGTGGCGCCCGCAGCCCTCCCCCCAGGACACCAGGCCCACCAGGAACCAGGTGTCGGCATATAGAGTCACCATGGGGCCCCCGCTGTCCCCCTCGCAGGCATCCATGCTCTGGCCCAGGATGCCTCCGCACAGCACGTTTTCCGAGATGTTGTGCGACATGTGGACGGCGCACACGTCGTGGCTGACCAGCGGCACCCGGATGACGTTGAGCGCCGAGCTGAAGCGCTGGCTTTCCTCGTTTTCCTTGCCCCAGCCCGTCACCACCGTCTGGGTGCCGTTGCGGTGGAGGACAGCCTCGGCCATTTTCCGGCTCGGAAGGCACGCTGGCAGGATGTACTCGGAGAAGGGCGCCGGGCTCTCCAGGCGCAGAAGGGCGATGTCGTTGTCCACCGTGGTGCTGTCGTAGTCGGGGTGTCGGAAGGCCTTTCTGACTTTCAGCATCACCTCGGTGCCTTCGTCGCGGAAACGCTCATAGTCGCCTGGGGTCAACCAACGCATTCACACAGGATGTCAGTTTTGCATTGCCTCGCTCGGTGGCGTACTCATTTCTAGAGCAATTCTGCTGCCGTTTAAAAGTCTCAAATAGGGTGACCCGATTTTTAATAACCGGGACAGTACAACTTACCGTATTTTCCGCACTAAAAGGTGCAGCTACAGTAAAAGCCTTCCATTTTCTTAAAAGCTCACAGTGCGCCTTAAAATCCGATGCGCCTTGTGTATGGTCATTACAGTAATATTTCGACCCCAAAATGGCTCCTCGCTCGAGACATGCTGACAACGCAGATTTCAAACTTAAGGCGGTCGGTTATGCAGTTGAATACGGAAATAGAGCAGCGGCAAGAGAGCTCAACGTTAACGAGTCAATGTTATAACTTGCTGTTGGTTAACTGTGTTGCTACTTTATTAAATAAGTCTTACTGACATCTGATCGTTCTGTTGGTGTTTCCTTGAGAGTAGCTCCATCTATTGGATGCATTGTAGATTCCGTCTTATAATGCGGTGCGCCCAATGTATGGAAAAAAATTACAAAATAGGCCATTCATTGAAGGTGCGCCTCATAATCTAGTGCGCCTTTTAGTGTGGAAAATACGGTAGTTGAAAATCAAATATAGAATAATTTCCCATTCGGAACTATTTCTAACAAATTTAATCACACGTCAATCTGGTGACAAGTGGTTGGTTATTACTTTTACCCTGAGGAGTTTGAGGTTGCTGATGAAGACGACAGGAAAAAAAAAGCTTTGTTCGCAGAGACAGAGAGCATAACATGACACGGTTCATTTTCTTTTCATGCACTTTTGAGTAGAAAGACAGACAAAACCAGAAACTTGTGGAATCTGGCTGAGTTTTTTTCCCTTAGAAACAAATAATTAGTCGTTATCATCAGCACAGCGGCGGGCGCGCGCTCTCACCCAGTCTGACTCGGAACCGCAGGTTGTTCTCCAGACAGTGGGCGGCCGTCAGGACCCAGTTCTGGTCAATCAGCACGCCGCCGCAGTGGAAACGACCTTTGGCGTTCTGCAGCAGGACCTGGCAGGAAAACGGTGGTACAGTAATTACTGCCCAAATTCTAGCAGCATGCTGCCTTGAGATACGAGCATACTATCGTATGAATCGGAGTCATTCTCGCAATTTTCCCAGAGTCAATACTGACGGAAGGTCCGTCAATCCATTCCTGACAACGCCCATTTTTCTCTGTGTCAGACGACGCCGGTGCTGCAGCTCGTAATAAATCATCAGAAACCGAATTTGAAGGTATAAGCCGGTCTGTGATGTGGGTCAGGTTCCATCCTTTCCCTTTGAATAAATAAATAAATAAGCTGAGTCTGGATGCCCAAGTTCATGGCCACTAAGCACGTCAGTGGGCGGCGCTGACCCGCTTGCTTACTGCCTGCCAGGCAGTGGACTTTTTTTTTCCGCGACGACGGCTTATTAGAGTCACCTAGCGAGTAAAAAAATAAAAGACCGATTTCAATCCAGAGGAGACGATTTGGCGTATCACTCAATAGCAACCGGTGGGTGCAAGGGACACCCCACACTTGACGTCACATCCTTTCCCAATAGAGTGCCGTGCATTAAAATTACCCAGGGGGATTATTTTGGGTAAATACACAAAAATGGTAACACTAGATCAGTGGTTCTGAACCTTGTTATAGGTACCGAACCCAACCTGTTAATATGCACATTCACCGAACCCTTCATTAGTGAAAAAATTGTTTTTTTTTTGTTTTTTTTACAAATTCCAAGATATTAAAAAAAACACATTTATTAATAACAGAAAAAAGTAAATAAAATTTCAAAACATAAGTCGAAGTTTTTTTTTATTTTACGACGTACTATCGTGACAGTCAAACGTCACTACTGAGCGAACGAAATTTCCCGCAGCACTGATTGGACAAGCAATGTCATGTGATCACCGGCAACCAGTGATGGCCAACAGAGCGTGTCATAACTAATATACAGTCGGGTGAGTCTTAACCAACACGGCAGAGGCTCCGTCGAACCCCTGGGTTTCGATCGAACCCAGTTTAAGAACCACTGCACTAGATATAGAGCAAACTTTACAACCTTACTCCATTTCTTCATCAATACTTCGAAATGGGCCACTGATCTGCGCTGCCGCTCACCTGCCAAGGACTCTCGCCCTTCTTGCCCACCTCCCCGCCAACCATCCAGGGCATGAGGCCGTCCATAGGCTTAGTGTAGGACGAACGTCCGATCAGCAGCTGCCCGCACGACGACGACCCTGCGCACACGTGACGTGACGCCGATTGGGTGGAGTCCACGTCTTTCGCCAATTTGCCGACGCGTTTTTCCTCACCTTTGGCGTTGCACTTCTTGGCGTCGTTGTGCAGCTTGTAGCCGTCGACGCAGCTGCACGTCCGCCGTAGCCCGTCCTCGCTGTCCGTGCACTCGTGGTCGCAGTCGCCGTTGTTCACGCTGCAGTTGGTCGCCGATTGAGCTGAGATGGGACGGTCGACAAACGCCATCATCAAAAAAGCCGACCGGTACTTCTCACTGGGGCTCTTGTTCAATGTCGTGTTTTTCAATACGACTGGTGTCTGGGGCTCATTCTTTAAAAATTATGTCACTGGCAAAATAGTAACACTGCTTCTTTAAAATGAGATGATTGATTTCTCTTTCAATTTCGAGCACAGTGACCTGAGACTAGAGGGCGCTGCTGAGTGATTTTCGGGGGCTCATGCTGAGGACCCTTAAATACATTTACACCTGGATACACACACACACTTGCAAATATATTTTCGGTCATGTTGAGGCCTCCCAAAACCCCAAATAGTAAATGATTTCAAAAAGGATAATACTATAATAATTGTGATAAAAATCATGCTAATCATCAATATTTGTGATGGATTTGTTTTGCGTCGGGCGGCCCATTGGTCCATTGGTTAGCGAGTCGACCTCACAGTGCAGAGGTCGTGGGTCCGATCCCTGCTCTGGCCTTCCTCTGTGGAGTTTGCATGTTCTCCTCATGCCTGTGTGGGTTTTCTCCGGGTACTCCGGCTTCCTCCCACATTCCAAAAACATGCATGGCATGCTGATTGAACACTCTAAATTGTCCCTAGGTGAGAGTGTGAGCGCGGTTGGTTGTTCATCTCTGTGTGCCCTGCGATTGGCTGGCAACCGGTTCAGGATGTCCCCCTCCTACTGCCCGAAAGACGGCTGGGATAGGCGCCAGCACCCCCCCCCCGCGACCCTTGTGAAGATAAGCGGATTGGAAAATGGATGGATGGATAGTTTTGCATTGACTTGAACTAACCATGTTCGCAGTACTTTCCCTCGTATCCTGGGTTACAGCTGCACACGTAATCTTGCAGCATGTCCACGCACCTCCCGTGGACACACTGGTTGGATTCACACTGATTTCCGTCTGAAACACATGCATGTGAAACACACACACGCGCACACACGCACACACACAGCGCTTCGCCTCCTTTCCCACAATGCTGTGTATCATTGGCTGTCCTCATGTCTCACCTCTGTACACCGTCCAGAACTCCAGCTGGAAAAGGACAACAAATAGTCCATTTGTTTCCGAATGTCCCAGTGTCCCTGAATGCTTCACCTACGACTCCCACACTGGGACCAAATCTTTTGGATTGACTCCATTTGAATCTGTACGGCAGTTACACATGATTCACGTGTGGATACCCGACTGACATTTGAATGTTGTGCACTGGACAGCTTGCAACATCTTGCAAGAATAGTAGCAACAAGTGTTTGTTTATTTACAGATAATGCGGAAATAAATACAGGTAGTGTGGACTCTAGCATGTTCACGTATTTGCAGATTGGTGCGTTTTTTTTGGAGGCTTATTTTTTAACCGTTTTTTTGTCTGAACAAATATAATGTGCATCAATTCGTCGCATTACTTGACGGGCTGGCCTTTGCAGGCACCGACCGCTGTTTGCTGATTTTGTTTTTTCTTTTTTCCAAATTTTTTTTCCCAAAGCAGTTATCATGTGCATCAATTATTTGTATAGATTCACAGTTTGGCAGAACCCGATTCACCGACTTACAATTTTTTTTGAGGAACCAATCGCATTTTTTCAGGATTTTTTTTTTTTTTATTCCAGCTATTACTTCGTGCATAAATAATTTTCAGCATTTACCCACTCACCTATTCATGGATTTTTGGGGAGTAGGACTTTGCAGAAATAAGATAAAATAAGATAACCTTTATTTGTCCCACACTGGGGAATTTTTTTTTTGCCCCAATTATTCGCTTTTATGTAATCCCCACTTTGTTTCAGTTTTTTGCCGACCCCCCATAACTGAAGACAAGCCCCCACTTTTAATGATATTTACAGTATAATTAGTCGAGATGGGCAAGTACCGCTGCCAAGTATTGGTATTGGGTCAACACCTGGTCATATTTATTTAAGGTATCGGTACTCACGACCTGCTTGTTACCATTTTATGATCAGAAACTAGAAATGAGAAATTACGAGAATAGAAAATTGCCATTAATTTCATGCAATTTTCGGGAATAAATGCTATTGGTGATATATAGGTCTTGCTTTATAATTATCTCTTTTTTTTTAGCGGGGGTGGTTTTAGATCAAAAGTACAAGTGGTATCTGTACTTGTTATCGGTATATGTGACGACTCAAGCGTTGAGAATCGTACTGGTATACGTCTGGAAAAATGTGGTATCGAACATCCCTATTTAGTGTCGCTGTCACTAATGTATGAATTTTTGCAATCAATTTTAAAGATGTGATCTTACCGTAGCCTCTCGAACCTTGAAGATCTCTCGTGCCTCCTCGAACTCGCAAGTCTCCTCCACGCACTCTCTCTCCATGGACGGTGGCTTGAGCTCCTCCAGGAAAGAGTTGGCGCGGCGAGAGCGCAGCAGCATGTGAGCCTCAGGCGGCCTCGAGAACACTGAGCAAGTGCAGCACAACCACATGCTGTTTCATCCCGGCCCGCCTGCCGTCGGCCGCTCACCTGCCCGCCGGGGACTCACCTGATAGGCTGAGCGCCGACACCGCCCACGCGGCGAGCGTCAGGCAGATACAAACGGCCCGCCGGCGCATGTCCGTCAGAATCTGCGACCGATCACACCAAGCGCTCAAAGCTCGGACTACAAACATGGCCGACCAAAAGCCGACGATGATGTTATCGCCCACGGAACTGTCAAATGCGTCGTATTCGCTTTTGTTGTAATCATCATTATTTAGTGGGTAGAAATGAGGCCTCTGATGGGATGGCAGGACCCTTTTGTGAACATTCAACAGCTGACAGAAACGTATCTTCTGCCCCAAACCCAAATCAACTCAATTATATTAATATAACACAACCACAGCTGTAACATAGTGCCGTACGTGATCCGAAAGATCAAACATAAACACCACAATAAGCAAATGAACTGCTTCGGAAACCCCTTTTGATTCCAAATCAAGCTCTGATTCACTTTCAAAAAAAACAAAAATCAACTTGTGATCCAGTTTCAACTCAAACTAACTTGTCGTTGACTTTGCATCCAACGAATGTTCGGATCCACGTTCAAATCAAAACCACTTGTGGTCCACTTTCAAAGGAGACCTCTTAAATTCAAGAAGAAACGAGACAAAGAAGGAGATCGAGGCGCGTGCCTTACTTGCTGGTGTTTGGTGTTTTTTCGGTGGCGTTTTGATGTCTTGGGTTGTCTTGGGATGTCGTCGTGCGTCTGCTTGTTTGTGTGATGTAAATGAGTGACTAGCAATGTTTACAGCGAGTCCACAGTCTGCGGTCCCGCACTGTCAACACGGTAGCCCCTGCCGCCCCCACGAATCAAGTACAAATACTTGGTTAGTGGACTTGACTCCAATATCAGATATCTGTACTCAACTCGAGTATTTAGTTTTGGGACCACTGTTTCCTTTTCACTTCTTCATCTTCTCATTCTCATCTGTTTGTCTTCACCATCTTATCTTCTTCATCCTCCGTATGCTGGCAACCAGTGGCAGGTTGGCACCTCCGCACCCTGATAAAACCATTTGTAACACACTGCTGAAATCATCGTCCAAAGCGCATCTGGGGTTCCCAGGCCATCAGGGGTCTAAGGGTGAGACTGTCCTCTGATCCAGTCCAGAGATGTGAGTTGACCTTCTTTCTTCTATCTTTTCATTTCTTCCTGCTCTCAGATTCAGAAGGGCGGTCTAGGGGTGAAGGGGCCACCCGGAGGTTCTGATGTCACTGGGACCAAGAGCCAGCGAGAGAACAAAGGTCAGGTGCCCATACTCACTCATTCCTTTCTGCTGAATTATTTCAATGTGATATTTACTGGAAATTTTAGAAACCTATCAAGTTCCACTATTTAAAAAAAAAATCCTGATTTAGTGATTTTGGAGTTGAGATCGATGAATGATTCCAAATCATTTACTCATTCCCAACTCCTGAATCACTCAAAGGAATTTTCAGTGGATTTTGGAGAAATATCTACTTTGTAGTTCCACTAGATATAAATGTCGTTTAGGTGATTAGGGCATAGGGAATGAGTGAATAGTTTCCACCACAGCTCAGAAGAACCACCCCCAAGATTCTGAACCACACTTTGACTCTGTCTGTAGGAGAGATGGGTAACCAAGGACTATGGGGCGTCCCAGGTTTCCCAGGGGATCAGGGAGAAACTGGGACTTGTCCTGCCTCTTGTGAGCGTGTCCAGAGCCCAATAGGTCGACAAGGGCCCACGGGACTCGCCGGAATTCAGGGAATTCCAAGATTCAGGGAGGGGGATTGAAGGAGCCCAAGGTTCAAACTAGAAGAAGATGCTTCAATCTAACACTGTGACATGTAAAGTTCTTTATTGGGCTTTTTCTCATACCAAATATGACTACAAATCCTTTTCAACTGACTTTAGGTATCACCACAGCTAACGTGCTCGCAGCTTGTTAATTGTAAAGCTTGAGTGTGATCATGAAAACATCGACAAAAAAAAAAGAAAGATATTTTTTGTTATCGTTGCTAATTTGCAGCTAACGTGGCTAACCCAACACAAAACTCTCGGCAGGATTTTCATTTTTCTTTTGGGGTAATGTCGTCGCCGCCCGACACGTTTCCTTCCTCGTCGTCGTCGTCACCTATCATGCCTCGAAGGTACGATCGCTTGAACTCCTGGAACACAAGCTCCTCCTCCATTTCACTTCACACACAATCATGCAGCACACGTTTAGCACGTGAGCACCAACAGCAAATTACCCATCGGCAATAGCATGTAGACATAAAAGCCAAACTAGCTACTGGCATTAGCGCATAACCATCAGCTGCAAACAATAACAAGTTAATTGCACATTACTCCCACTGTCAAACAAGGTGTTGCATTTAGCACAAACTCAGGACTATCCCTTTACATTAGCACTTTAGCACCAAGGTGAAACAGTGTGTTAGCATCACATTCAAACACATTTCTTTGAGCTCACTTGTGGGGACATCTATTAGCATTATGGATGTGAAACTGCTTATGAGCATTTGTATGTTTGAGGTATGTTAGCCCAAGCATCTCATAGCATGGTAATAGCCCTGTAGATCGACTTTAGCACATTAGCGATAATGTCAAACTTTCTGTTGGCATTAGCCCCACCGTCCTTTCCTTTAACGTAAAGGCTAAACGATGTGGAAGCATTAGCGTGTTAGTACAAATGTCCACTTACTAACTAATTTAATGCCAAAATGTAAACAGAAGTTTTTGGTGTTTTTTTTTTTTTTTTTTTAATTAAAATGTATTGATTTATAAAGGGCTTTGCGCAGCTCCTCAGTAAGTATCAAGGATAGAATGATTTCAGTATGATACTAGATGGCAGGAGTGGATTTGATCAGACTTTGGTCCACACAAGGTCCACTCATGTTTTTCTCAGATTTTTTTCTTGGAAATTAGTATTTTTTAAAAAAATTACCAATGTTCAACAGCTGTTTACTAAAGACTGGTAAAAGGTAGAAATGTACTTTTTTTTTCCCATGCTTATATAGCGACACAACAAAATTTTCTGTCAGTCTTCAAAACTGGTCAAAAATGGTCAAACACGGGTGGCACCGGATCTCCCAATTTGAGAAAAACGGTTGGCATTAAATGAGTTACTTAAGAAAACAAAATAAAACAAACAAACAAAAAAAGCAAATCACCTTTCCTTGACTGGTGGCAGGAACAGAAAGACGAGAAGATGAGTTTGTGAGGTGTGTAGAATGTTTCTTGATGTTTTTAAGAAGAAGAAGATGAGAAGCATGATCCTCACCTGTGTCAGGTTTAGGGTGCATCAGTTTGAAGGGAAGTTCCAGAGAAACCTCACTGTCACACAAAGAAACTGATAAACTTGGAGCGTAAACACATCACATTTGCACTTGATTGGCAACACATGGTACATGGCGGTTGTCAGGCAGACTGTCAGACTGATTAGTCGACGAGTGGACTTCACTACTTCACACTACGGCACTCCGAGGAGGGGCAAAATCTCCATCTGGCTAACAAAGTCACAAAAATCGTCATACATCCGCGTAAATCAGAGAATATCTGGTGAAAAGTACGCGGTGGTGGATGAGAACAGCAGTTAGCATCGCTAGCTTAGCTTCGTAGGCGGGTGTTTTTACAGTGTAGGTGAGTGTGGGTTGGGTGTTTCTGTAAACGGATGCGTCTAGAGTCGCGGGTGTCGATAAGCGTTCATACGTACCTTGAGCTCATCATGCTGCCACAGTGTAGAAATGAGAGCGGAATTAAAGTTGACAACACAATTTTACGGAAAAGTCCTCCTTGACAATGATTCGCGTATTATTAGTGTTTTGTGAGTTACTCACCCTCCGATGATGAGCTTGATTGATACCCTGTAGGACACCATGATGCCCAAAACCTCCTTCAGGACGCCTGGCTTGATGCTGGAACCACACCTTAGCATTAGCATCAGTGTCACAAGCTCGACCCTATTTCTCGGGACTCGAGCTTGCTCACATGCTGGACGATGCCAAGTTGGTGTCTTCGTGCTTGAGTTTTCCATCCAGGGCGATTCCCCTCCTCTCCCTGTTGTTGGCCAGCAAGGGGAGCAGCAGGATGTCTTTTTGGAGCGTCGCCCCCGCAGAAACCGTTTCGCTGAAGAACAATACACTTGATCAAGGGCTAGTGTTAGCATGAGCCGGCTAGCATTAGCCTGCTCGACACTCACCCTTCTTCAATGGCGACGCATTTGACATAGCTGTCATTGGAGTACAGCACCACTGTGGCCACCTGATCCACTGAGGACAACAACAACACGAGAAAGTGCTGATTCCTTGATTGGCAACTTGATTTTGACGTCACACTTTCAGGTTAGCCATCGTCTGGCCCCACGATGTCACGCTATATATTGTTGCATTACAATGTTGTCTTGCTACAATGGCGTGATATGAAATCATCCGACGATGTCGTGCTAAAACGTCATGCTACGTTGTCATGACACGTCGCGCCGCAATATCTTGCTATTATGTCGCTCTAAATTGTCTCTATTAGATGTGGTACTACAATGTTGCGCTGTGACACGATTACAAGCTACATTGTCCTGCTGCTTCGTAACGCTAGCATGTACGCTAGGATGAACAGTACATTGTCCCGCGACGTCATTATGAAACTTTGTCAGATTATGTTGTCGCCCTATGATGACACACTATATGGTGACCGATGTCATACTACATACTATGCTAAGGCATCCTCGTGCTGGGTTTTTGTTCTATGTTGTCATGCTACGCTGTCACACTACATTGTTATTGCCGCATACATTGCCACGTTATGCTGTTGAGTTAGGTTATCACTTATGATGTCACACTTGGTTGTTGCCATATTGTCACAGTACGATTTCATGCTACAACATTATGCTGAAGCTTTGTCGGGCAAGGTCGAGGATGTTAAGTCAGTTCTGTGGCGACACTACATTGTCACCCTATGTCAGTGATCAGATAATCAGCAAGGTCTGCAGAAGCTGGATAACGATCCTGATCATTTGAATCAAGTGCGTTGCTGCAGGGGAGAGAGAGAAAACATCTGGAAACTGGCCCCTCGACAAACAGGATTGAAGAGCCCTGGCCTATATTGTGATGCAATGCTGTGAAGTCACGTTACGGTGCTATGATGTCACATCGCTAAATGGGAAGAACATACCGGAAATGACCATGTTCTTGACATTCCTGGTAGAGTTGTTGACTACGTTGAGGTGCAGCCTCAAAGTCTCACCGTGGTAGAAAATCTGCAGACAGAGAGCTGGAGGAAGTCACCGGAGCACGCACACTCACCATGGTGACAGCACGGCCGGCAACAGGCCACAGCCCCCCCCCCCCCACCTCTTTGTCAAGTCGGGCCGTCACGTGCAGCGGCTTGTCCGATACGGAGAAGTCCCGTGAGATTTCAACAGCGGCGTCCTCCTGGGCCTCAGGGGCATACTGCACCTTCCTGATCGTCAGCTTGACTGAGCTCCTGGAGGACAAGGAGCACACGGAGATCAGGCGCAAGTGTGGCTTGGCTCAAGCGGACTCTGCCCTGGCCAGCCTTACCGTTTGCGGATTTTGGCGTCCTGACTCTCGGCGCTGAACGCTTTCACCTCAAACTCCACCGCGCATTGCTGAGGAGACGAGACGCAAGGCTTTGAGGGACTGAGACACACTCACACAAACATGCACTCGTACGTGCGCACAAACAGACACACACAGTCATACACACACGTATCGGAATGTCACCTTGCCGACGTCGTGCGGCGCCGGCTGCATTGCCACCGAACACGGCAGGTTGTCAGGGAACTGTGACGAGACCAGACGGGGACACGTTTTGCATGTTGGGTGGTGCAAACGGGTCAACAGCATGTCACGGGTGTTTGTGGGGAGGGAGGGGTTCTTGACACCTCGAAGAAGAAGGGGTAGGCGTCATCGCCCAGCTTCCGCAACAGCTTGGCCTGCATGCGCGTGTGGACTCCCTGCTCGCGGTCCTGCAGCGGCGGGTACACCTGCCGCGTGGACAGGTAGAGCTCGCGGCGGAAGGCCACACCCATCACATCCATGTCGTCGCGGCCGTAGCGGAAGGTACACGACAGTGTGACAAACACTAGAGGGCGCCAGAGAGAGGAGTCACCACCAGAGGGCGCTGTTTATACCCGACAGGCTCACCTTTCCTTCCCTGCAGGGCCTCGCGCTCGATCACGATGACGCCGTCTAGTGGGATGACGGTACAAGAGGGATTAGCGTTCCCGGCGCTGGGTGGATTGGCAGCTCAGTGACAGCTAGTTGACTAAACGGCTCGGCAGCTAGGTGGCGAAATATCTAGGTGGCTTGGCGGTGAAGCAGCTCGGTCGCCAATTGGCAAGGCGGACATCAATGTGTCTTGGTTGCTAAGTGGAGAGGTAGCAAAGTGGCAAAGCATCTAGGAGCCTGCCCTGACAAATGGCTAAGCAGCGAGGTGGATAGGCGGCAATGTGGCTTGATGGGAAGGTGGCTGTGCGGCTAGGTAGAGATGTGGAGAGATGGTGGCCTCACCGACTGGATCCACAGAATCCACTCGGTCGACAAAGTCCCGTCTCCCCATGTACACGCCCACCTGAGGAGCACCACACCAGAATGATGATCAGAATGATCTAGCCTGTCATCTATTCTTTCAGTCATTCTGCTGTCCATTCATGCTTATAATATCGACGTTTTCTCTTTCACCCATTCATCCGTTAATTCATCCATTTCTCCCTCATCCATCCATTCATCCAGCCCCCATCAATTCATCCATTCGTCATCCATCCACCCATGCGTGATGTTGTCGATCGTCGCCATGACAATGACGTTAGCGCCTTAGCACGTTAGCTGACCGACTTGTCTTTGCAGATCTTCTTGAAGACGACATTCTTGGGGCTCATGATGCTGCTGAGTGACAAAACAATCAGGAAGCTCTTAGCATCACTCTGGATGTCGCCAGGGCAGTGCCACAACGCCCACTCACCTGCAGCAAGATGAGTACAAAGATGAAGACGAGCACGACGGACAGGTGTGACGCTGGGCACCAGCCTCGTCTCTATATGTCACAGATGGTTGTCCAGAACGGGCTCTCTCCTTCGGAACGGCCAATCGGGAGCTTTTGCCATGCTGGCCGCGCCCACAATGGCCACGCCCACTGCAACCACCTTGAATCAACCGCTGAGGGGATTGAATAGCACTCCGACCACGTCAGCACAACCAATCAGATTACCTTGTACGTATGTCTGTGCCTGTGTGTGTGTGTGTGTGTGTGTGTGTGTGTGTGTGTGTGTGTGTGTGTGTGTGTGTGCGCGCGCACGTCTTTCCATTTTTTCTGTATGTGTGTTTTTTTTTATGTCCCTATTTATGAGTTCGCTCCCAGTACACCCACGCCTCTTTATATAGAGCAAAGCCTCAAGGTGCAGGTCAAAGGTCAAGATGGGGCAAACGAGTCATACACAATGCCCACGTAGTTTATTGGTCATTATTATTATTATTATTATTATTATTTTATTATTATTATTATTATTTCATAATCTACACTGTTACATTGGATCAGTTGAGCTGTCTGTCGTCGACGACGATGACGACGTCATCAGCGGCAAGAAATGAAAACATTGGCTCCATTCGAGAGGCGAATGCGTCAGGATGTAATCTGGTTTTCTGCTCGTCAGCAGTTCTCCTGGATTACTGTGTTGTCATCAACGTGATTACTCGCATCAGATTACAATCCACACACCCACGCGCACACAAACAAATTGATGCAAGCATAAAAACACACCCACACATGGAAAGAGGTATATGGAAAAGACAAAAGCACTCCTTTATTCACCCAAGCATGATTGTGATGTCATGAAAGCTATGAGGTGGACTGTTTGCAAATCATCATCTCAGTTAAAATATGTCGTGTGTTTTTGTGTGTGTGTATGTGTGTGTCTATTCAGACGTAAGCTCTGGCCGTCTCCGCCTCCGACGTAGGTGTGGCCTTGTAGACCTTGGCTGGAGGACCGTTGCCGTAGTAACCACTGAAACACAGAAAACAACATTGTGTATCCCAACATAGTTTGAAATCTGACTTTGAAACACTAAACCTAGTTTAAAACAATAATTTGAAACCCTACTACTAGTTGGAAACCCTATCATGAAACCTTAGCTCATGTTGGAAAAACTATTTTGAAACCTGACTTTGAAACTCTGATACTAAGTAAAAACTTAATTTTAAACACCAACCCGAGTTTGAAACCCTCATTTGAAACCCTATTCCTAGTTTGTAACTGTACTTTAAAACCCTAACCCGAGTTTTTAAAATGACTTTGAAACTTAATCCTCGTCTGAAACCCTAATTTGAAACTGTAACCTTGTCTCAAATCAAATTTCAAAAGCTAACCGTATCTTGCAACCCTAATTTAAAACCTTAACGTTGTCTTAAAATTCTAATTTCAAAAGCTAACTCTGTCTTGAAAGCCTAACTCTGTCTTGTACTAATTTGAAACCACAGCCTTGTCTGAAAACCCCACTTACAAAAGCTAACCCCATCTTGAAACCTCAGCCCAGTCTCACAACCCTAACATGTGACCCCAACCCAGTTTGGAAACGCCAAGTGAAACCAAAACCTTAATTTGCAAAGCCAACAAGGGAAAGCCGCCTTCCAAGCGAGCGCCGCTGTCCAGAAAGTCCCACTTGCCCTCAAAGTCAGCTCGCTCGCAATGGGTCTTTATGCCGTACCTTTTGTGGCCAGCAGGTGACGCCCTCTTGCAGGCTGTGCACAGCAAGGCGCCCCCCAGCACGGAGAGACAGGAGGCTCCCCAGCCCAAGTACAGACCCACGCCCAGCTCGAATCTGCAAACAAACACGCAAGATAAAAAGCGCATGCTAACAACTCGTGACATGGCGTATATGCGTGTGCATGCATATGCGTGTGACTAACCTGACGCCCATGTAGAGCGGGTTGTAGAAGTCCTGCACCACCATGCTGGCGTACCACGACACTGCCGTCATGCAGCAAACACCTGCAAGCACAAACGGGACGCTAGCTTCAAAGACACTTCTGCAAAGTCGCCGTCGTCTTGGTCATATCATATTTCCAGATAAAAAAATGACTTTAACATTTGTCCAAAGACAACAGCTAGAAATATCTTCACGTTTTCCAGTTGGGTCATGTGACCTTCCGCAAAGAGCGGATTTGATCATTTTCATCCAAAACGGTTGAGCCCCACAGGTGCTCGCTATCGTAGCCAATCGCTGTGCATTCCAAGGTGTCTGACAACAAGTGCTTTTCACATATCACACAATTCCGTTAATCAACTTCTGCTGATGAGTTTCATTGTAAGCTTCAGTTTTTCAGCATCTCATGTGCCTAAAGCTAGACCCAAAACCTTTTTTCATTTTCGTGGACGAAAACAATTGCATATACAGACTGTGACTATGACTTGTGCAAAAGAGCAAAACTAAAATAGCTCCTAAAAAAGGTTTGGACAGCTTTGAATGCGGCTCACCGGCCAGGATGCTGAGGATGCCTCCGGTGACGGCCATCTTGGCCTTGGAGGTGTCTCCGGCGGAGCCGATCTTGATGCACTTGAGGCCCAGTAGAGAAACCACCATGGAAGCCAAACCCATCACCAAAGACACAATCATCAGGGCGCGGCATGCCTGGACATGACCTGTGCCAAAAACAAACTCCAGTTTTAACGCCACAGTCACCTGCATTAATAAAAGTGCCTAAAAAAAAAAAAGTCAAAGACATGAATGGAGAAGAAGGAAGGTTGGATCATGAAGATGAAAAGAGTTTTAAAGACAACAGAAGAGAAAAAATAAGACGAATTCAAGAAAAGCATGGAGGCTAAGGAAGTGACGATGATATTTCATATCAGACAGGATAAGGCAGTCTCAAGAAGTACAAAGAAAGGCTAAAAGAAGAAGTAATTAAGGCTAAAAGGGGATGAACAAAGATAAAAGGGGAAGAAGAGCGTAAATGCCAACAGAAGTAGAGAACGAAGGGAAGCAGAAGGTGGTAATGGGGCCAGTTAATGATTGCCCGCTATCATCATAAAATGGCCGCCGCACCTCTTTATGATTTGCCAACAGCGGGAGGAAGGTGCGTGAATGTGAACGCTAAAGCTAAGTCTTTCTTCGGGTTGATACCAATGAATGTTAAAGGAGACCAAGAAACAAGCTTGACGTATGAAGAAATTTCCAATGAAGGCAGAATTAAAGGCTAGCATTGGAAGAGAATAAAATCTGAAGGAGACAATGAAAGCCAACAGAAGTGGCAATGAAGGCTGAAGAAGGAGAGAATGAAGGCGAAGGACGTGAAAGCTAAAAGTATGAGAATGGAGGCAAAGGAAGAAAATGAAGGGTAAAAGAAGAAACGAAGGCTAGGGAAGGAGAAATGAAGTCCAAAGAATAGATGTAGGCTAAGGAAGAAGGAAATATGTTGTAGAATGAAAGTTAACAGAGGAAGAGAATAAAGGCTGAAAGTGGGGGGAAATGATCGCTAAACACGAAGCAAATAAAGGTTAAAAGAAGAAAATGAAGGCTACAGCAGAGTGAAGGACAAAGAAGATGAAACGAAGGTTAATGGAGAACATGAAGGCTTAAAACATCGCCTTAAACAGAAAAGGAGAAAAACGGCAAACTGAACAAGAGAAAGAAAAAATGATTTGGTAGAAGAAGAAGAAATGAAGGCCATCAAAGAACGTATGAAAGCTGGACAAATGGGATAGATGTCCAAAGAAGAATGGATGAAACTGAACAAATGAAGAAGATGAAGGCTGAAACGATAAGAATGAAAGCCAAGGAAGAAAGACTTGAGTCTAAAGAAGACAAGGAATAAAAATGGAGGATAAGAATGAAAGCCAAGGAAGGACTTGAGTCTAAAGAAGACAAGGAATAAAAATGGAAGGTTCAAGAAGGACTCAAAGGCTAAAAGAAGTGCAAAATGGAGGCAAATGGAAGGTGGGAGTACTCGAGTACTACGGTTCGTTTTGGTAACGAGGCCAGTTAAAGATTAACCATTATCAACTTTTACGAGCTCCAACTAAAAAAAACGGCAGGAAGGGCACTAACGCTCTTGTCACTTTCAACAAAAAAACAAAACCAAAAAGAAAACCCACTCTCCTCGTCTTCCAAAAACAGTCAAGCATCCTAAAGCGGCAACGCAACTGTAGTCCAAGCGCTGGTCGATTTTTTTCACTCGACTGGCCCAAAAACTTGAAGGCTAATGATGAAAAGAATGTCAGCTAAAGAAGGGGATAATGAAAGCTACTCAAGGATAAAGGGATGAAAATGAAGGCTAAAGAAGGGAACAAAGGCTAACGTAGAGAATGGAGGCTAAAGAAGGAAATGAAGCCGAAAAGGAAGGCTCAAGATGGGAAAGGGAACGAAGGCTAAAGAAGCAGAGAAGAAAGGCGAAAGAGGAGGAGAGCAAAGACTGCAGCCAAGTGTTGTGATGTTGTTGCTGGCTCGTTGATGGGTCTGTCTGAAGCTCAGAGACACCCACCGGGCAACGAGAGCAAAGATTCGAAGTCCTTGCACTCGGCGATGCCGGCGCTGTTCTCGGCGCACGAGTGCCACAGGTTCTCGAACTGGCGCTGCGAGATGATGACGCTGCCCGACACGGTGGAGATCTTCCAGTAGTCGTTAGCCAGCGACACGCCCGTCAGCAGCCAGCTCAGCAGGCACATGATGAAGCCCGTCGCCTCCACTGCTGTCGACATTGTCGCCGCACCAACGTTCCCGACGGTCAGCAAGAAGAAGAAGATGAAGAAGTTGACCAAGTCTGCCCAGGAAGGGTCCCAACGGCTAAGAAGGAGACCAAGACGACGATCAACAAAGCGACCTGTAAACCTCGCACCGAAAGATCACGGCGTGTTGACGCGAGAAGACTTTGCTCTCTGACGGCGGCCATAAAACGCCCGGCCCACCCCCACCTCCTCCTCATCTCACTGAGTATCGATTGCCGTGGCCACGCCGCACCCTCAATGACATCCCAAGCCTTCAAAAGTGAAAGACAAACCAAAGCTTAGAGAAGAAGCGAATTAATGCAAAGGAAGAAGGACAACGGCTAAAAAGGGGACGGTAAAGCAAGACTGACTGAAGCCTAAGAGAAGATATGAATGCCAAAGAGGAGCCAACAGAAGGGGCGATGAACTCCCACCAAGAATAGAATGATGCTTCAAGGAGAACAACTCAAGGCCAAAGAGGATACTCTGGATGAAATTGTGTCGTGGACGCCCCCTGCTGCCTACCACAGGACAAGTCACACAAGTCTCCTTCCACATTCCCCCCAACCCCCCCTTCTTTTTTACGGCAGGGAAGGGCCCACAGCTGGCCTGCAGGCACACTCCGTTCATTGTCCCCCCTCAATATCTATCTATCTATCTATCTATCTATCTATCTATCTATCTATCTATCTATCTATCTATCTATCTATCTATCTATCTATCTATCTATCTATCTATCTATCTATCTATCTATCTATCTATCTATCTATCTATCTAATCTAGCTAGCTAGCTAGCTATCTCGGTAGCTAGCTATCTCGGTAGTTAGCTAGCTGACTAGCTGTCTGGCTAGCTAGCTAGCTAGCTAACTAGCTATCTACCTCGCTATCTGTCCATCAACAATTTTATTGTGTTTTTTTTTTTTGGGGTGGGAGGGCAGGCAAACCCTAATATTTTCCTGGCAAACCCATATTGGAAGTTCATCAGCGTTTCTGTAGAATTAGGGGGTTTACAATAGAAATAACTATTTAAATATATTTTCCCATTATTATGTCATTATACTGTGCATCTATTATATTCGGATTTTCACTATTGACGGGCCGTTACGTATTTTCTCCGATTTGAAAATGGCGTATTTGTCCTACATCTGGTTAGGAAGTGCGAGGTTCACCATTTTGTGGACTGCCAAAGTAACGTTGATGAAACAATGGTGCTGCGTGGTCTCATTTGCGTCTGAATGTATTTGCAAGTACCTTGGAACGTATTTGCCACTTAAAAATGTTTCCTCCACACTGGCAGCTTCAGAATTGCATACGATTCTCGGTGCATATTTGAACGTTTGGAAAAATGCTCACAAGCACGAATGGGCAGCAGCTGGCGCGCATGAAATGGTGGCGCGTGTCCCGACCCATCGCCGCATGCTCAACTTTTTGCCAACACCGCAGCCAAACTGTACCGACTCCGACCTCTGACGACAGGCGTCATAAATGCAGGGCGGAGCCGACCGGTCGAACCGGTTCATCCGAGCGTTAAGCGGCTCTGACACCCACGTGTATGCTATGTACATGTACGTTTTGGGATAGCGTCTTTGCTGCGCGCCAGGGAGAGCGGTTGTCGTGGATATCAGAGACGAGTGCACCATGCGTCCAACAGGCTACCCAGGATGAAGACCACCACCATCTTCTCCACTCTGCTCATCCAAGTTCACCTTGTTTGCTGTAAGTACGCATATAGGGACAGACTGATTGAATGGGCCGATTCCAGTAGTTGAGTTTAGTTTGAAAATTGTAATTTGCTTTACTGTACAACACATAGTGACCTTTTTATTTGATCTTTTTTTATCCTGCACTTGAAAAATGTGCCATGTATTACAAAAAAACCCTAAAACTAATGCCAAAACTAATTAAAACTAAACTAAAAGGAAGCATTCCCCCAAATACAACAAATGATCAAAAAAACTAACAGACCTGCATTAAAAACAAATCATATCTAAGTGAATCAAAAAAATCAAAATAAAATCAAATAATCAAAAAAATCAAATCAACACTAATAATAATGAAAAATCCAAAGTTACCTTCAATTAATATAATTTCAAAAATCAAATTTAGCATTTTGAACATGTACTCCAGTTTATGCAGCTATTGTGTTTTGATGCTAAAACCGGGTAACAAGAAATCAAGTGACAAAGATATATCAACGGTTTTAGGGAAATTTTGAGTCCAAAACAACATCCAATTCTTAGTTTATGACATATCAATATTTTTGACAACTGACTGATAATCAATGTCCTTTGATAATGTACAAAATTTACTTTGGTCTCGAAGAGTAGTGTTTGTACATTGAAGTCACCTGTTTTCACTCATATCGCCTCATTCTCTGAATTTTTGCTTAATTTTCACATATAACCCAATTTGCATCACGAATGCGCTCTGTGCAAACGGTTGCCATCTTTCATGATATTTGCAACAAAAGATGAAATATGGACATGCTTGAAAGGACACATACAGCCTCAGCAAAGCTGGATCACAAAGCAAACATTTCAAAACACCAATCATCTAACGTAATTATATTTAGCGCTTTTCCTCTACAGAAATATGGAATACTTCAAAAACTAGAGCCAATTCAGGAAAAAAAAAGAAATGTGTGTTGACCAGTGTAACCTGTTTAGCGTGTGACACACATAACTATTAGCCGCATACTAGCACCGGGGACTACAAAACGTCGACTGCACCCTTTTGATCGCTGATGTGCTCGTCGTCAAGCAATATTGCCGTCTTCTTCCTCTTTTTCTAGAAATGTGTGTTGACCAGTGTAAACTGTTGAGCATGTGACACACATGACTATTAGCCGCATACTAGCACCGGGGACAACAAAACGTCGACTGCACCCTTCTGATCGCTGATGTGCTCGTCAAGCAATATTGCCGTCTTCTTCCTCTTTTTCAGATGGTTGGAGTGCGCTCCCGCCACCGGGTCACGTAACCATGGATTCAGTCAACATGAAACACGTGCTAAAGTGGCGCCCTCCTCCGGCACCATGCAGCACGCCACTTCTCTACTCAGTACAGTTCCAAGGGTACGTTCGTTACGCGGCAAGTTACTCCAATCCGTGTGGATTCTGTCGAAGCGCGTACACTTATGTTTCCCAGCATTTACTGGGTACAAGGTACAAATACTGAAATACTGATGAGCTTGTTTCAATTTACTCAACTCAACATTTCACATTGCTCGCGTGGAGAAGGACAGCAGCTGTAATATCAAAGACATTTTGCTCCGAAAATGTGACATGCATGTTTCATCTTTTTGCGCCTGTGTGACAGACTGACAGTACATTAGAGGATTTGTTTGTTTACAATTGTTTTCGATTTTTTTTTCCTGGCAAACTGATACTCCACACTTCAGTCCATTTATCAGTAATAAAACAGTGAAAATTAGTGGAGTTAATATCGACAAACGGTGTTACGCCTCAAAATTTTCGGCTTTTTCCCCGAAAATTTCAGGTTAGAATACACAGTGCTCCGAAAAAGAAAAAAAAAAAGTTAGTCTGGAGCTTTCCTAAGGGCTCACTTAACAACACCACAAGTGACCTGTTTTCTGGGTTTGGTCACGTGACATTAATAAATTGAGCCCTGACCAACTGTGGCGTCATTTTCACTCGACAGCCAAGTGACAAAATGGCCGCCCCCCTGAAATGCATATACTGTACTGTAAATAGGTGGCTTTGTTGTTACATTCATATTCCACAAGCACAATATGAATCAGAATCCAGTGTTTCGACGAGTGCGGGCACATATTGCAAAGAACATTTTAGACTTGAATTCCCCTTTGAAGTACGCCTCCCCCGTACAGATAGAAAATAAAACAAAATACAAGTAATTGCTTGCTTTTTAAGTCTTAGTTGATGAATAAATAATTTGAAATAATGCTGTAAATATAGCTCCTCTGTAGAAAAGCCACTTTTGACAAATTATCCCTGACTATCTTTTCAGTTTAATAACATAAATAATATTCTAGGCCACTCGACCTGCTTGTTGAAAGCCAAACAAAAAAGGTCATTGGAACCACCTGTGGGATAGAACTCCCGACACCTCGACAGGCAACATTCTCAACGCGTTGTTGACTTGAGTCACGACAATTAACCTGAAACAAGCTAAGTAATCATGAGTTAGTAATTTCCCCATCTGTTCTTGTTGTGTGCCTGTGCAAGTTCCAGGCAAGGTTATTATAGTTAACAAAAACAAAAACAAACCTTAACAAAATATAATCGAAACAAAATGCTTTTTAAAAATGACAACAACCTGAAACTAAATCTTACATTTCATGGCTCAAAATTAACTTTTTTTTTGGGAGGAGCATTTTTGCAACGCAATGACATAATTTCAGGGGGCAATTTGGTAATACTGAGGAGCAATTTTTTTGCGGGTTAATCCCATTAAACTACAATAATCTGACAATATAACAGAGGACTATTAAATATTTTTGTATTTGAGTTTCCTACTGGAAATTGGATTGTATGATCAAACATGGCGCTAAAATATGTTTTTGCTTGAATAAAGAACAATCATACATCCAAAAGAGAAAATAAAATATTTTACTTCGCGAACGACGAGTTAGTTTCCTTTTTTTTAACATTTGTGTATCTGCTGTTCTTGTTCCGTCCCGCGTTCGACTCGAATTGCAGCGAGTTCGAGCTGACGGTCATGGACGGCATATGGGTGGATTCTCCCGAATGTCAGGACATGACGCGCACACATTGCGACCAGACTTTAGACTTGGGCTCCGACTCAGACTACAACATCCGCGTGCGAGCACGCTGCGCCTCCCAGACGTCGGAGTGGGCGCAACTATCACCCCCGTTTAACAGGAGGGACAGTAAGTAAGAGTGGCCGCTAGTGATGGCTAAAAACTTATAGTAAGCCGTTTTTAGCACCCACAAAAAAACGACCATGTATAGTAAGGCGTTTTTAGCCGAAAAA